TGCATATCTTGTATTACGTTTGCCAGTACACACTCATTGAATTCAGATGATGAATCTTTAACTGATTTTGAAATCTTTAACTGATTTCAACAGTTAAAGACTTCAATATGCAAAGCCACACTATTCTCCTGGAATATACAACCCCAAAGGGTGTAAGATAGAAAATGAATGGTTCCTTAGTAAGTCATATCTTGCCAACAATGAGAGGCAGATCTCATTCCTCTCCTAAAAATAAGGAAGCTCTACTACTATTAAAAAGCATATGGTTCCCAAATCAAAATGGTGTCCAAGTCAAAAATCTTATACCCACACATTCAAAGGCTTCTCCTTACAGACAGAGGGGCTGGCTTTACTCCCAGAAGGGATAATAAGACTGAGTTTGCAACAGCTACCACCTCATTTGCATGTTTATTAGCACACATGTATTAAGCTCTGCTATGTAGGCTTTCAACTTTATGAGGGCAGGGACTGTGTTTGGTGTTGCTCATCACTGTAGAGTAAAGGACAGAAAGAAGGAAGGGAAAAAGGAAGAGAAGGGAAGAGGGAGACAAGGCACTATGCTCAGTGACTTGAATACTGCCTCTAAGAATATTATATTTAGTGTGAAGATACAGACATATAAACAAGTACATAAAATGAAGTGTCATAATTATTATAATTTAAAATATAGTCTAGGTAGCTGCCAGGCTGGTCCTGCTCCATGCTGGTGGCCAGGAGTGGGCAGCAGAGCAAACATATATGTCACAGTTGACCACAGTGAAGTGAATCCAAATACCCGTGTAATGAGCAGGCGGGGTACGTGGCTGACATACACATGGGCAGTTGGCTAGCTTCATATTGTCTTACTCAGCATTCCCTTCTTCAGTGTTCCTGTTGCCTCGACCTTAACAAATATTATACATAATCTGGGCATGTATGTATTTTTGCATGCAGTGAAAGGAGCACCTTGTGAAACTCCAGACCAGAGTAAAGCAAGGCTCCTAACTCATTGGGAACAACTCGACTATGGAGTACAGTTTGCATCTTCACAGAAGTTTTTCCACATTTTCTCCAATAATTCTATATTTTCTGGCAAGTTTCTGTATGAAGTATGATCCAACTCACTTCATCCTAAACACAGCTTCTCTCCTGAGTGTGCTAATTCCCAAAATGCCACAACTACATGGTGTTCAGATCTTTGGAATTAATAAGTATTCAAATGTTCTGAAATGGAACAAAAATTTTTTGCAGCTACTGAGTTTCCTATAAGGAAAGAGTAGTTAGTAAACTGCACTGTTTCTGTGATAATGTGAAATGAGAGATATTTACCTTGGGGGGCCAATTGGGTTCTTCATATGCTGTTTTGAAGTGTGGATTTCTCTTAAAAGATGCCTCTGTTTAATGCATCTGATATATTTCTGAAGAGAGGCTTTATAAGCAGGCTGGATAAGTAAATGGCAACACAGTGAGGGTGTAGCAGATAAATCCAAGGAAATAAGAGATTTGTAAGAAACTAGGATCAGCTTAACTTATAATGAATGGGCATTGTGTTAGGAAAAGAAAATTTCCAATCATTCAGTCACAGTCAGTTTAAGCAGACTTACATGTAAACCAGAATCATCTCTTTACAAGCTTATTAAAGATTGTTTTTATTACCATACATAAATTCCTATTGTTTTATATAAGAGGATATATACTCTCTTGGTTTATGCAAGCCAATTCCTACTTATGAGTGTACTTTTTTGGTTTTACTGGCTCAATATTATGTGTTCATAGATAAGGTCATTTTTGTGTTTAAAAATCCACATTCATGATTGATTGGTGCTAGAAGATAGCCAGGTATCTCACAAGCAGCCTCTGAGTCAGCGTTCTAATTTTGGAAAAAAGTAGGTTTTACTGCTTTTCCAGACACAAGGCTGCTAAACCAATTAAGAAAATAATTTATTTCAAGTAGCTAAAGTATAAGGTGATTTAAAGTGTCTGCTTATTTAGTTGAGAAATTTAATTGGTAAAGTCTGTCATTTTTTAGAAAAGAAAATATAAAATGGACAACTATATAGCCAACCTGTGGCCTGGCAGAAACTGTTTCTCTAGCAATCGTACCAAAGTAAGTAATGGAGTCTTTTTTCTAGCAGGTCTACAGTAAAAGATAACATTCTCTTTTCTTAGTCTGCCTGCTGTCAACCCCAATATTTTCCCTTTAAATACGTGGTTCTTAGTGTAGATAACCCAAAATGGTAACTATTTCCAGAGCACCAACCATATTGAATTCTGACTTAGGAAAGCTTCCTATAGGTGCTAACATTAATTGCAAAAAATAACTATATATTACTTTGAATAGTAAACATAAAAACAGCAAAGTTCTGATGTGGGATGAAATTGAAAAATTCAGTTAACATTTATAAACAAAATCGAGTGCAAAGAGTTATAGACCAACTTAAAAATCAGTTTGTGTCAATAAACTGACTTTTGGGTATAATGATAATTGTTTTGTATTTCAAAAGTATTGAATTTAGAAATCAGTTGTCTGATACAGCCTTTGTATGTTTGTCTTTTCTCATGTATTTTTAAATAACCAGCAATCTATACTTTCATAAAAATTTTTCCTTGGTGTAAAAAAATGTCTACATATAGTTAGGTTACAAAGCAGTGGTTAAATCTATCTGGTTGGAGGTTGAGAGCAAAGTGAAATGGGTTATGAAAACATTTATGGAGACAAGGCTGCATTGGGACTTTTGTGGTCCCCTTCTTCCATAAAAATACATTTAAAAGTAATATCATTATAGTGGACCAAGATGAGTATAATTGTCCAGGCACTCTAGGAGCACATAGCCAGGATGTTCAGCAAAGACCTCCCTGAGGTCAAAATGTTTAAGTGAGAGAGACCCTAAGGACAAGTGGGAAGAGTGACTGAAAGGTAGGGTAAAACAGTTTGTTCAAAGGCCTAGAAGTGAAAGATCTATGTATGATTGGATGGAAGAGAAAAGAGAGGGGGTGAGGATTGGGGGCAGAGAGAGAGGAGAGAATGGGTGAGAGATGAAGTTAGAGAAGGAAGTGGGGATCAAACCCCAGCAGGCTCTGTGTTAAGGAGTCTGGCTTTATCCTAAGGATAATGAGAAGCCATTAAAAGTATTTATGTTAATAACTAACAGGTCCAGGTTTCCATCTGGGGCATTCATTCAAGCTGCATTGCAGCCAATGGACTGGTAGATATTCTGGGGGGCCTCTAGGCTCCCTCTTCTGGGCCAGTGTACCCATCCCCAACACCGAGGAATATTGGCTGTTGAAGGCTCACAGCTGAATCCTCCAGCGAGCATTGCACCCAGCCACAGTGAACTGCCCTTCCCAAGAGTAGACCTTCTCCAGGAGAGCGCCGGTGGTCATGCCTGGCTAATGTGGAGGTACAAAGGCCCAGCCCCCTTATCTCAATCAGGGGCAGCCCCAGCTCCTGAGCTCCCTGAAGAATTGGCTGAGGCCTCGGTTGTAATCACGCCTCTGATTGCTTTTGCTTTGCTTAATCCTACTCTGTTAGCTACCTATTGCTGTATAACACATCATCACAAACTTAATGGCTAAAAAAATACACATTTATCTCACAGTGTCCATGGTCAAGAGTCTGGGTACAGTCTAGCTGGGTCCTCTACTCAGGCTGCAAAGTGTTGGCCAGATTGTATTCTCTGGAGGTTTGGCTGGGGAAAAAAAATCTGCTTCCAAGCTCATTGCAGTTGTCAGAATTCATTTCCTTGTGGTTGTAGGACTGAGGACCCCAGTTTCTTGCTGGCTGTTGGTTGGAGGCTGTCTTTGGTGTTTAGATGTCACCAGCAATTCCTAGAGGTTGCTCACAGTTCCTGTCACATAGACTTTCCCAACATAGCCACTTACTGAGTCAAGCCATCAAGAAGAGTCTCTAGAACAAGTCTGCTACCAAGACAGACTCATATAAACTACAGCAGTGCAGCGTCTCATCACCCTTGCTATATTCTATTCATTAGAAGCAAGCCACAGGTTCCATACTCACTCAAGGGGAGGGGATTACACAAAGTTTTGAACATCAGGACATGGGAATGATGGGAGCTACCCTCAGATCTGTCTGCTACATTTGCCTTCTTCACTTCTTACAGGTGTACCTCCTGAGAGCATGCTCCAAGAAACCTGCCACCTGCAACTACCCATCTTAGAGTCTGGATCCAAGGAGGAACAATGAAGGCAGGGAAGTGAGTTAGAGACTTGCTGTAACCTTAACTATGGGTGATAGCAGCAGGAGATTCAGTAGCAAATTTTATTTTCATTAATAAATGTATAATCAGCATTATTAGAATTTATAATGATACACGCCCTGTCTGGAAACAAAATCAAGTCTAAAAACAACAAGGTATCTTCAAATAAGGATACATGCAACCAAAATAATTCATTTCTAGGGCTGTAGAGCAGATTAAACATAACTAATAAAAATTAAACTTATTATGTTCCACAGTGTGAAATAAATCTCAGACACACTCAGTCACCCAATCAAAAAGAGATGATTAGCACTTTATTAAATTAACACAGATTGGACTTTTACAATTTGCAGAAATAGCCAGCAAATAGAACTGTCCCATTAGAGACTGATATTCAGAAATATATAAGCAGCTATAGGTATGATAGTAGGATAAAATTCCACCCTGTTAATCAGCATTTCTATTTTTATTCATCCTATTTGCCATACATTTTACTTTTACTTAGTCATATACAGAGTGACATAAACGATATTCAAAAAGGATACATTTTCAATCATTTCTACACCATATTACAGGTATTCCTCATTGAAAAAAATTATTTTTTCTTAAGTCTTTGAAGTGTGAAAAAAAAAAATATATATATATATCCCTGACCTTATTTCTGGAAATGCTTAAATCAATAACTGTAAACACCACATGGCCACACTTACATGCTGTCAGAAAAATATTTTAGAATATTTTGAGTAGTCAGTAGCTTATGATTTCAGTGAGTTTGTGGGTATAATTAATTGCCTTTCATTTTTAAAGCACATTCAAGATTTATTACAAAAAAGGATGGTGAAACAATATATATGATCTCCCCTTGGTATCTGGGAATGCTCAGCAGTAGCGCAGAAACAAGTGTTGAATTTATCAGGGAAGCAGAACAATAGCCCTTCAGAGAGGGGTGAGCCGCTCATCCTCTGTCATGAAGGCATCGTTAATGTGCCCTCCCTTCGCGTCCAAAGAGTCGCAGGGGATGCCGTTTTCAACTGTGATCATGTTTTCACGTTTATCTTCAGCGTCAACCATTTCAGATGGTTCCATGTTCTTCCTAAAAGCATACAAAAAGAGGCATTGGCATCTAGGAGGACATGAACACGGCCGAGTATGGTCTTCTATATAAACGTGGAGAACAAGAAGGGTAATAGGAATCTTAGGACCATGAAACAATTAATGGCCTTATGTATTTTCAAATAATAAATTTCAAAGATCGTAAAGAGTTGGTGAGGTGAAAAGATACTATCAAGATAACTCTGCATGGATGACATATGTATATTTATCAGAACAACTGGTCTTATTTAGGATAGAAAATAAATATAGATGAATATGTATATGAATGAATATATATGCATATGAAGGAATATGACTGTATACACATGTATACATACACACACAAATTGCACGAACGATGTGAAGAAATGTATGGTAAACTGGCAAGTTTAAAATTTTCCTCTAGGAGAACCACTTAACAAAAATTGAACTCAAGTTATAAATTTGTCTTGTGGGATTTGACAACTTAATGGTCTGCAAATGTTAAGTGAGAACCAAATTGAAATGAGCTGTCAGAAAGCAAATTCACATTATTTTGTAGAAAGTAAGTAACTGTTACAAATTTCAGATATTGCTGCTTGGCTCTACTTATTACAAAATAGTTGTGTTCATTTGTAAGTCAGGATTTTGGAAATCAGAACACATCTTCCTAATCACATTACAACTCATAGTTGTAATTCCAGGTCATTCCAGAAAGCTCCACATGATAGGATAAATTGTTTAGTTTCTCATACTCTCACCCTTTGTAGATCCTGCTACCCCAACCCAAGTGGTAATTAGATCCTTAATATTTCCTTGGAGTGTGGAAAGCTGCACACTAAAATTCAAAAGTTTTTCCTGTCTTTTGTGAAAGACTAAGACACCAAGCCAATTACGCTTGATATCATGCAGTAAAAGAAAGAAGAGAAGTGAGTGCCTCTCTAGGCAACCATAAGAAGGAGGGGTTTGCCTGAGCCTTATCACAGATTGGACATTGGACCACCACTCCATGGTGGCACCAGGGATCCATGATGTCAAGCATGAGGCTCCCAGACTTTCCAAGGATTCTCTTGTCCAAGGAATCTGGGGAAACTCCAAAAAGACAGACCTGAAGGGATCATCTGGCTAGAATGTTGGGCATTGCAGTGGTGATCAGGGTGGATTCTCACCACTGTGAGAGTCCCTTAGGACCTTAGTGAGTCTCTGACAGGTGAGGAGGTGGTGAAGATGCCTCAGTGATGACCAAGATGGAACTTCCTATTAGTCCTATCTGATAATTACTTTTAATGTGCTTTAAAGAATATGGTGGAAGAAAGAGGAGAAAAGAGATAGCTCTTTTTTACAAAAGAATGCCAACTAATATGGAAAGGGTAATAGAAATAGATAACCACCACTACAATAAAAATTGATAAAGAGTCATCAATGGATACTAAACCATCCAGTGAGAGATGGTTGGAGAACAGGATATTCACATGGTCTCAAAGTATCATCCCCATAAACAATGTACTAATTACAAAAGGACACTTGTATTTTGCCAAGAGAGAAATCTGGTGAACATCTCCAACCATGATACAAGTCCCTCCTGATTTGATACACTGAGAAGATTACATATACATTTTTCTTGTGTTCCTGCCACCCACACCCCAATTTTTTTTACCTGAATCTCATAATGAGGAACCTAATCAAACAAATCCAAATTTAAAGATGTTTTGCAAAACAGTTGACCTTGACTTAGCACAGAGTAGGTGTTCAACTCAACGGGTGGATAGAGAAATGAATGTAGATCCATGGCTGGTTGGTTAGATGATAAATTAATGGATGGATGGATGAATGGATGAATTAATGCTATAAGTAAAGTTATTCAAACAGTAGCCCAAGGTAGATCTTGAATGGGATTCACCACAAGAAATGGAAGAAAGGAAAGAAGGAAGGGAGGGAAGGAGGAAGGAAGGCAGGAAGGCAGGAAGGCAGGAAGGCAGGAAGGCAAGAAGGCAGGAAGGCAGGAAGGCAGAAAGGAAGGAAGGAAGGAAGGAAGGAATTTCATACATGTAAAATTTTTTGTATCTCACATTTTTTTAATGGATGGAGAAAATATTCATTTTTTTTAGCTTAGGAATTAGGAGTTAGCATGGATTTTGCCAGGCTTTGCTGATGGTTTATTAATAATTTTAAATAGCTGGAATTCATTTTAAAAAGTAAAATAGCTTTCCAATACTGTGAATCCCAATGTCATCATCTGAAAGTATTTCATATTATATATGCCACTATCAAATGTCACAATGAATCACTATAGGAAATCATTGAATTGGAGTCGTTGAATTTTAAACATTTATTCATAAAACTACTTGCCCGATGCTAGGTTAAAGGTTGGAGCTTGTAGTCCAAGAGACCCAGGAAAAGATAGGCTGCTGTGTTTTTCCAGTCTCAGAGTAAAGACACTGCACTGTCCATTCAGAGTGTCAACAATCAGCAATCAGCACAGGTTGGTGTGGACAGAAAATTTAATGTGATGAGAGGGTCCTCCAGCCAGGTGACATCACCCACCAGAGGACTAGAACACTTTGGTTCCTCCTCTTGTGGACAGGAGTATTGTCACTTTCCATGTCCTCCAGAAAGCAAAGGCAATTAATATTCTATAACCACTGATCACATGACTTCCATTCATAGTATCCAAGATTCAGTAACAGCTATGTTTTCAGTGCCTGCTATGAGTGTGGAAAAGACACAATCCTTGTCCTAAAAAGGACTCAATGAAAGGGGAAAATTCCATATTTATCCATCCTCCCTCCCTCATTTTTTAATGTTTTATGAAAGAGAAAAATGATTTTTTATAGGAATAAAGCCCTAGTAGAAAATATACATATATGAGTGGGTGTGGTGGCTCATGCCTGTAATCCTAGCACTTTGGGAGGCCGAGGCGGGTGGATTGCTCAAGGTCAGGAGTTCGAAACCAGCCTGAGCAAGAGCGAGACCCCATCTCTACTATAAATAGAAAGAAATTAATTGGCCAACTAATATATATAGAAAAAATTAGCCAGGCATGGTGGCGCATGCCTATAGTCCCAGCTACTTGGGAGGCTGAGGCAGCAGGATTGCTTGAGCCCAGGACTTTGAGGTTGCTGTGAGCTAGGCTGATGCCACGGCACTCTAGCCTGGGCAACAAAGTGAGACTCTGTCTCAAAAAAAAAAAAAAGAAAAGAAAAGAAAATATACATATCATCAAAAATGAGTAGCCCATGCAAATTTCCCCTCCTGAGCTTGGAGTGAATAATAATTTTCCATAACAATAAATAGATTTTAAACACCCAAATCTTACCCTGAAATTTGTGTTTATAAGTATAAAATCCATATTATAAAAATCTTAGTGAAGGAAGCATTCTGCAATAGGTAGCAATGCAACAGTAGTCTTAGAAATAATGGGTTGTCAGTGTCTATCTGCCAGTTCCTTCAGTAAAAAAGTGTCTTTGTGGAGTTGGAAGAAAAATGGCAGAGAGCTAGACACATGCAGATCACTGTGAGGAACCTCACCTCCCTCTCCAGAGCCACAAAGGAAAAATAATCCATCAGGCATCATCACAAAGGAATGGGGAATAACTAAAAAGGAAGATGGAAATGAATGAAGACAAGTTTCGCTTCTTTAAAAGAAGGATAATTTCTTGACCAAAAAGATTCTGAGGGGAATCACTGTGGAAATCTATGAAACTGAGCTGTGTCAGTGGCAAATTAGATACATATTGTTCTTTTGCAACTTTAGATCTAGTTGTTCTGAGCCTTAGCATCGCTGGGCTTCACAAACTGCAGTGTCAGTAACTTGCTGGCTCGTGGACATGATAAGCAGCTCAAAGGTTATCTAACAGTAATATAGCACTTTGTCACATTTCAGAGTACGTGCTGTAATAAAGTGATTCACTACCTGTGCATTGCTCTAAGAATCATAAAACTTAACTGTCTTTTGATCATTCTGATTTGACGTTCTGCTAAAAACATGACTTCTTTTTCCTGAAAACTAAAATTGAATGTTAATGATTTCCGATGTGCCTGCAATGTCAGGCAGTTCAGGAAGAGGATGAAAAACCTGTGACTCAAATGCATGGAACTAACTCCTAGGAGACTTGAGAGCAGATATCTCTTATAAATCCAGAGATAAGAGGGGCAAAAGAAGTATCACGTGGCCTTCAGAGCTGGGGACTGTTGAGAAACAGGGTTTGCTCTGTTCTGAGATAAAGTAGTGATGGTTAAAAGCAGAAAGAGTATTTCTGTCTCCCTTCATAGAAAATAGGGCTGAAGAGCCAAGACCCAAGAATAGACATAAAAACAATAAAGGACAGACAAATATGATTTTTAAACAGAATAGAATCAATTGCTGGGGAATTGGGACTGTCCTTATAATCAGTCCAGATGATTCCTAGGAGAAAAGTCAGTGTTACTGAAACAATATGAGTGGGCATGGCAGCACACTGAGATTGGTGGACTTTGAAATCAAGCCTATCTGGCTTTAAATCCTGGTACCCCTGCTTTTTAACCATGTGACTATAGACAAGTTGCTTTACATCTGCCATATAATAGCAATAATAATGATAATAATATTAGGTATCTATTACATGGCAGAAATCAGATTAAGTGCTTGTACACATCATCTCATTTCATTCTCACTGTGATATTATGTAGATTTTATTATTATCCCTATTTTTTAGATGAAGGATCTGAGATTCAACTTAGTAGAGCAACTTATCTTTTGGAATGAAACAAGATTGGTGAAAGGATTTGATCTAGAACTCTATTTAGTGCCCCCAGGTTCTACTGAAAACTCACTGACGTTGGATTCCTATCAAGCACACATATTTAAGAACAGTAAAGAAAAATAATTATTGTATTAGCTATGACATTTCTCATTTTATTTACATTTCTACTTTTAAGACTATATATTTATTTAAGACTTTAGTCCAGGTACAGTGGCTCACACCTGTAATCCTAGCATTTTGGGAGGCTGAGGTGAGAGGATCACTTGAGGCCAGGAATCAA